TTCCAAAATACTCCAGACACGATAGTCCAACGGATTGGTATCCGGAGATTTTGGTGGCCATTGTGCGCTGGAAATGAAGCGAGGAACCTCATTTTGTAAACATTCTTGAGTGACGCGCGCTGAGTGCGATGTTGCTGAGTCCTGCTGGAATGTTCAAATGTTTGCGTGCCCAAGGCTTTAATACACCCTCCAGAATATTTTCGCGATAATATTCGGCATTTATTCGGATGCCACGGTCGATTAATACGAGCGGAGAGCGACCATCGGCTTTTATTGCGACCCACACCATCACCATGGCCGGCGCTTAAGTTCTGGTGGCCAAACGAAGGTGCACATTTTCAGCTGACCTCTTTGGCAAGTAAACATGATCATTTTGTTTGTTTACAAGCTGCTGGACAACGAATGTACCATTTCTGCTGATGTTGCTGTTTTCTTCCGTCCACTTCCTTAACATCGGGCTGCGATACCAGTATCACGGTAACGAGCGATGGTACGAGACACAAAAGATTTATTCACATTTAAATTCTGAAGTGCTCTAACGATAGCCACTTGAGCTTTTCAAGATATAAAGAAATAACACTATCACGCTTAAATTCCATCACAAATAACTTTTTTCTGGAAAATTCTCACCAAAATGCTTTTGTACGCTTCTAAACAACATAGTGAGCTGTCACTGGAACAATTTTAACAGCTGTCGGAGTGGCTTAGAAATGACAGCAGTCTGAAGTTGGTTGCAGTTTATTCATCTCACCCTGTAATTATTCTAAATAAACACAGGGAGGCAAATAAACACACACTCGATATAATATAACTGATATTGTTTATTTTCGCATAGCACTAACTTGGTTGGTCCTCTCGGGTTCTATACGGTAAATTATTCTCTGTGGAAATTTTGACCCCTAAGGGATGTACCAGAAGGAGTGGACCGATATTACCCATCTCCGAACTCGATCTAAGCTTGACAATAATATTAAGATATACTAAGATTGTATCAAATTGTATACTCACTTCGAGAGTTATCGTGCACATTAGCCAGACAGACGGGCGGACGGACACCCCTAAAACGGATTTGGTCCACGTTTTTTCATGGGGAACGTTTTGCATGTATCACATGATATATACCCTCTGCAGCTTTATGGCTGAGGGAAGGAACTAAAAACATTAACATCTGAAATGGCTTCGAATGAAACTTGACCCGTGCCCCTTATTCCCTTGTGCATTTGAGGATATTGGCGATGTTGTTAAAGAAGGCATTACTAAATTAAATAGTAATGCCTTCTTTAACAAAATCACCAATATGCTCAAATGCACAAGGGAATAACGGGCACAGGTCAAGTTTCATTCGAAGCCATTTCAGATGTTAATGTTTTTAGTTATTAATAACCTAATACATTCCAGGATCTATAATCTGTACATGGTTTTTAATTTTTATAAAAACTAAATTTTTTAGATCATCTATAAACGAAAATATCTGAATTCTCTCTGCTAATTTTTTTTAATCCACTCAAAAGTTATCTGTACTTACCAACATTTTTCATACATTCCATATACCTACCTCGAAATTCTCACGAAAACAAAATCGACATGAATAAAAACTTTTTCCAAATGTCAATATATCGCTCGTGAGTGTGCATATATATATATATGTATGAACCATGAAAACAATCAAACACAGATCATTATTAAATATTCAGTAGACATTTATTAACAAACACTTAATTCTTGTATCGTGTTTTCAAAGAGGACTCTTTTTAAATGAAGCTGATGCTGCTGCGAGTGTATTGGTGTAAATATTTGGCCTTATCAACTTAATTGTGAAATATTTGTGTGTGTGTGTGGGTGTATATGTTTGCGTGAGTGTTAATATTTGTAATGTCCATGAATATGTAGAAAATCCTTACAAAAACAATAATGCGATAATAATGGTGATTAAGTTCTTTTAAGCCGTTTCAAAAAACAACAAAAAATCGCTTGTAGCTTCGACAGTTCTGCCATTGTGTATCTATGTAAGTGTTTCATTAAGTATTTGCTTTTATCTCTTTTTTATTTGTTTGTTCGGTTTTTGGTTTATTTTTCAATTATTTATTTTTTAATTCTTTTTTTGGTTTTGTTCTTATTTTTCTGCTTTCACTTCAATGGAACAACATAATTAAATGGATATAATTATACATGGGAATTATATGAATATACTATATATAATTTTGCTATTCATTGTAATTGTGTGTGTGTTTTTTTACTGCATCGTATGTGATTAATTTGTTTGTAATGATGATGATGCTGCTGCTGCTGATGTATAAAAAACGGAGGGGGTTTGTTTACAAAATGAACATTAATTACACGAGATTGTTCTTTGTTGTTTTTGTTTTTAATAGTTAGGGCGCATGGGTATTTATTAAGGTTTTGTTTATGTTGTTTTTTCGTTTGGTAATTATGTATTATATTTAATTCATATTTGCTTATGTTTCGTTTTAAATGAAATGCATTAAATCTGTACCCAGCAAATACTTTATTTGTTTTGTTTTTGTTTTATAATTTGTGAAAGGACAAGTGATGAATGAATGTGTTTATTAATAAATAAAACACCTTCAATGCTTGTTTACTAAATGAAATAAAATTAGTACAAAATATACATACATATTTACAAAAAACTGTATATTTTTTGTATATATAGATTCAAATATTATGATATTGGTATTTAATTACAATATTATCAAATGAGGGATTCATCAGAAACGGATTATTTGCGAGCTCGAAATTTCAGGTTACTTGAAACTATCTAAAACTTTGTGTTTTTAAGTAGTAGTAATTTAAATGCCAAACTACAGAGAAACCTTTTTAAAAAATAGCCTTCTACTATAAAAATACTAGGACTCAGAGGTAAACTAATGTTTACCAAAACCGTTACAATTTATTGCACAAGGTGGTCCCATTATATGGGGGTAGAAAATGTGGAGCAATACGTACAATGTTTTGTGCCATTTTTTATAAACAACCTTAAATGTGGCCTGCACATCAAAATTTACCAACATTGTCACTTTTTTCATAACGAAATTCATATAAAGAATAAATTCACTTTCAATTACATGGTTACATTATAGAAAAATTAAAATTTTTAAATAGCGCTCAAACTATACTTATATAAGCTATTTCGAACTGGATTATATTTGCTATAAGAAATAATTTTCTTAAGAGGCTTTAAATTTTTTTTAAATCATAACATTAGATTTTTCAAAATAGCGATCACATCTGAAACATCGTACGATTTATTTAAAAATCATAATTTTTTGGGTTTTCTGAAATTGTCAAATATGGTAGTGAAAGAAATATTGGAATTTGTATGGTATGAAGAATAGGGCAAAATGTTCAACTTTCGCACTTGCTCTAACATAGACAATAATATTGAAAAGTGCAACATTTTTAGAAACTTGGATACTGGATTTACATTTTAAGAGAATTAATTTTATTAAAAATTGTTACCCTTTGCGGGGATGAAGCAGATCGATAAGTCCCATGAAGTTGGATGTATTTCTTTGTGCGAAGTTAAAAGAAACATCGGCCAATGGTTTTGAAAATTTTAATTTATTGTGGGATATGTTCCAGAAGGAGTAGACCGATATTGTACATCTTCGGATTTCTAGATTCAAATTTGCGTCTAAATTTACCCACCAGTCATGGTGAGGTTCACAAAAGAAGCCTACCATGTTCGGAGGAGATCGCAAAACATTTGTCGGATGAAAGGAATTGATGCTGATTTCGTTGACATATGCAGGGTGAGATGAAAAAATTGCAACCAACTTCAGATTGCTGTCATTTCAAAGCCACTCGTCCCAAAGCTGTTAAAATTATTCCAGTGACAGCTCATTATATTGTTTATAAGCGTACAAAAGCATTTTGGTGAGAATTTTCCAGAAAATAAGTTATTTGTGATGGGATTCAAGCGTGATAGTGTGATTTCTTTATATTTGGCTGAAAAACCACAAGTGGCTATCGTTAGAGCACTCCAGCATTTAAATGTGAATAAATATTTTATGTCTCGTACCATCGCTCGTTACCGTGATACTGGTATCGTAGCCCGATGTTAAGGAAGTGGACGGAATAAAACAGCAACATCACCAAAAAAAGGTTCGAAAAGTAAAGAAGCGACTTGATCGCAACCCGCGTCGTAGTGGCCGAAAAATGGCTCGTGAGCTGAACATATCGCAATATTCCATTCCGCAAATATTGAAAAATGAGCTCGGGGTAAAGCCATTGAAATTCCAAAAAGTCCAAGAACTTACACCGCAACAGAAAGAAAATAGACTCTAAAGATCTAAAGAGTTGCTTAGCTTGGCCGAAAGTGGTGAATTGCCGAATTTGATTTTCTCCGATGAGAAAACATTCGTTGTCCAACAGTTTGAAAACAAACAAAATTATCGTGTTTACTTGCCAAAGAGATCAGCTGAAAATGTGCACCTTTGTGGGCCACCATAACAGCCGATGGCAGCTCTCCGCTCGTATTAATCGTCGCATCAGAATAAATGCCGAATATTATCGTGAAAATATTCTGGAGGGTGTATTATAGCCTTGGGTACACAAACATTTTGGCCGCAGACCTTAGGCATTCCAGCAGGACTCATCAACATCGCACTCAGCGCGTATCACCCAAGAATGGTTACAAAATAAGGTTCCTCGCTTAATTTCCAGCGCACAATGGCCACCAAAATCTCCGGATACCAATCCGTTGGACTATTGTGTCTGGAGTATTTTTGAAAGCAAGGTTGGCACTACAAAATCTAAAGCATTTCGCCGGGAATGGGCCAAAATACCGCAGAGCAACATTCGGCAGCGTGCGACGGTTTCATTGGCCGTTTGAAGGCCATAATTCGTGCCAAAGGTGACCAATTCGAACAAATCTAAACTTATTCTAAAATTTGATGCTATTTCCTACATTTTTTTTTTGCTTTCATTCAATAAAATTAAAAAAAAATGTAAACATTATGGCGTTTGACTTTGTTGCAGTTTTTTTCTATCTCAAATAGCAAAATATATACAGGAATATAAATTGTGAAACTTTGTTTTGAATACCCATTGACACGAAAGAGGACGTAAATAACGGGCAATTTCCAAGAAGCTTTGCATGGTCTGGTGCCTCTGGTCAAAACCAAAGAGATTAACTTTGCATCAGTACATGATGAAATATTTTTTCAAGGAGTGTTGTTTTTTATGGGATTCGTTCATTCTAGTCAAAAGGGTTTCTAGGATATCACTGTTTGCATAAAACTATAAAGAATTCTCGAAAAATGGATCTCACGACAAAAAGGTAAATTGAACAAAAAGTATGATTAACATATTTTCAATAATAATTGGAAAAATTAAAAAAAAAAATCATTTCGTGTGCGTTTCTAATGATGGCTTTTCCAATATGCCGGCGAATACATCTGACTTTCAAGAGAAGGGCATAACTAAATGATGGTAAATAATTTTTGCTTCTTTGGATCACCGATGACGACTTGATTTATAAAAAAAACGGTTCTCATGATATTGTTCGTTTTCATCTATTCTTTTTAATTCATTTGAAATTAACCTGGAGTACTGGCATCCGTGTGGATTAATTACTTGGGAATGATAAAAATTATATTTGCTGGGATACAAAGTATTTTTAAAGCATTAAACATTATTAATGTTATCAATAATAGAGTGTTTAGTATAGACGTTAAAGTGCATGTTCGGTTTTTTTTTTTCATTTCATTTGAAAATGGCAATTATTTACAAAATGTCAATGATAATATTTGACCATTAATCATGTGTAAATTAACAAATATATATTTAAAATTGGAAATAAAACAAAACAATAATATATTGATAAAGTATACCACACTCCTCACCGTATATACAATGGACTATTTTCACTGACTTTAATCTGCACTTTAAAGGGTTTTTTGTTCGAATTATCTACTATTTTTTTCCAGGTAAATAACTCTTTATTTTAATTCATTAAATAGTAATATTATCTAAACAAGCATAGCATGAACGATTTTTTTTATGATTCTGTTATTTTTGTTGAAGAGGAAATTTAAATTAATATATTTTAATTAAATTATAAAGGTTTTTTGTTGCTGCTTTGCACTGCACTCGATTTGCTTATACAATATTTCAATCTATGCTAAATCTAATTAGGCTGATTTTATATTTTATTATTTGTTTTTTGTTTATGTAAAATTACCTTAACATTAAAAATAATATTATTTTACAATAAAACTTAATGGCTTTATTTTAAACATTTGTTTATGTATTTTTTTTTTTTTTCAATTAATAAACTATCTTTGATAGCCAGCTGTGAGACACAATATCAGAATGCAATTTGCGAGTAACATTTTATAGTGATGGGAATTTATTTTGGGCATAGCAGCTGAGTTCGGCCCAAAATAAGTTTCCAAAAATCCACGAAAGCCTCCACCGGATGACGTTACTGCAATGAAAACATAATAACAATTACAAATTATTTTTATTTTCGTAGTACTTATAGAAATATAATATTTTAAAATTTAATTTCTTATTATTAACCAGTAAAGAAGGTCTTAAAGTCGGTCGGGGCCGACTTTATGATACCCTCCACCACTTTGCTAATTTAGCAGAGCTGCGCATAACAATTAAAAGTTTTTATGGGAGAATTCAATCATACACGCTATGATTATTATTATAATTTAAAGTTCAAAGGACTAAATATGCCGAAGCATTTGTATCTTTTAAATGCGGACTTGTATTGCCCATTTGGTGCACAATTAATTTAAAATCGAATAAAAAATATATATGGGAGCTATATCCAAATCGGAACCGATCTCGATAAAATTTGGCAATGATATTTCTGAGTTGTATTTAATATATTTTCCTGACAAATCGGATAAACAGTATATATGGGAGCTATAGCTATATCTGAACCGATCTTCACCAAATTTGACATACCAGCTTCTAGACTCAATTCGGTCGTAAGTGCCAAATTTTATCAAATTTGGGCAAATATTAGACGTTTGGTCCACAATCAAAGGTATATCGGACGAAGTTATATATGGGAGCTATATCCAAATCTGAACCGATCTCGATAAAATTTAGCAAAGGTATTTCTGAGCTGCATTTGATATATTTCCCCAAATATTGTTGTTACAGAGTGCATATTACGGCTGCGGAGGACAAAAATAAAAAATCGGATGAACAATATATATGGGAGCTATAGCTATATCAGAACCGATTTCGATCAAATTTGGCATACTTATTTTCAGGTCCAATCTGATCGTACGTGCATAATTCCATACTATTCGGACTGATATTACACGTTTGGTGCACAATAAAAAGCAAATCGGACGAAGATATATATGGGAGCTATATCTAAATTTTGACCTAGTATCTCCAATTTCAATAGGGTTCGTCCTTGGGCCAAACAAATGATTTGTGCTAAATTTGTACTTTACTTTGTTTTTGTACTGTACTTTGTTTACAAAAATACATGGACAGACGGACGGACGGACATGTACAAATCGACTCAGAATGTGATTCTATGCAGATCATCAAAATGAACTATGGGTCTATATCGTTTCCTTTTGCCTGTTACCCTGACCACCTTGTGGTGTAGGTTATAAAAATTAGAAAAATTTTATACCCTACAACACTATGTGTTGGGGGTACTATAAGTTTGATTGGGCCAAAAATTAGTAACAACTTACAGCCAGTTCCACGATATCGAAAGAACACGTTCGCACAACTTTTACACGACAAACAGCTGATTTCCGTTCCACTAAAATCCATCAGAACGAAAATTTGCACGAAAATCAAAGCGAACGAAAACGTAAGCATTTCAGTGTAATTTTGCGTTCCACTATCTTTTTTCTTTCGTACGCATGCGAACACAAATGTCAAAATCAGTCACTTGTGTGTTTGCTATCGTATAATAACAATTAAGGAAAATTGTTTTAACATAAACATTGCTTGATTCAAAATAGAAACAAAAAGGTAAGTAAAAATAATAAATGCAATTTAATATGTGAACAACAAATATATATTTTTTATTTTCTCAATTCCAGCACGAAAAAATCATCAACTACACAGCTGCGGGTATATGGAGGAGAATCCTGTGTTCGCCAGAGGAGTGCCAATTTTTGGAAGCAGCAGAAGAAGTTTTAAATCGGGGCGGATTTGGGTAGTTCTGCAACCGGGCACCCACTTCTCTTCCATCATATCCAAAAGAGCCCGAAAACTTGCTTCGACACACGAAAATTGGCCACAAACCTAGAAAAAATCATTTTTATTATTTCAAAAATGTAAAAATACAATCATACTTACTGGTTGTTAGGTACTTCAAATAAATTCGAAGCATCTCTTAAATGCCTCCGTGGCACATTTTGAACCTCCTCCACATCATCCATAAAAAATAGGGCTACGGAAATATTCTTTTTTTTTATTTTCTAAGAGCACAAATAGTTTGAACACAATCACTAGAAATTTTATTTTGTTTGTTTATTTACAATTTGTTTGTTTACAACTGAAATGTCAGTTGAGACAGAGCCACTGCTGCTTTTTCGCGTTTAAATTAGACATTTGGCGCTTTTTTTGCCTTATTTCGCGATTAATTTTTCCAAAAAAATATTTAGCAACACTGAATCACGTAAGGCTATGCGAAAGAAAGAACGAAAGTTAGTGGAACGCATTCTTATACGAAAGTGAGTGAGTAGCCTTCGTTCGCACAAATTTTCTTTCGAGATCGTGGAACAGGCTGTTAAAATATTGGTTTCCCATATAGGAAAGTATATATGGAAGTTCCTATCTCGCTGAGCTGAGTCGATTTAGTTATGTATGTCCATCCGTCCGTCTGCCATGTTAATTTGTAATCACTCTACAGGTTGCAATTATGGCCTGATCTTTACGAAAGGCCAGAATAGAAGCCTATTGCTTTTGGAGATGATCGCATAATATTTAGGGGTTGAAATTGGACCAAAAACTGAAAAATTTCCGGATTTTGCAGTTGCTCTACAGGTCGCAATTATAGACCAATCGAAGCGGAAGTTAGCATGGGGCTAGAGCTTAGGGCTGGGCAGAGGCCTCCCAAGTTTCGTAGTCATCGGGTAATATATAGTGGTTGAAATAGACCATAACATTTGTGTTAAATAAAGTCAAATTTTCCATTTAACCGCGAATATTTTAATCCCGACGAAATCACAAATAGACGCGCAGATCACCGTTCCAACCGTTTACGTAGATGCCAATAGTAAATATATCGGATATATATAGCGAAATACATACAATGTATATAAACAAAGGAAGGGGATGTTTGCTAGAATGCTTATGTCTCAAAAATGGCTGGACCTTTTTTTGATAAATTTTATCAATTTAGAATGCTCTCTTGACATAAAAATATAAAATCTAAAAAAAAATCGCATAAGAAGATGCCAACAATCATGTCAATATAGATTTTGTAGTATTTTGTGGATTTTTTTTATTTTTTCATATTTTTTTATCGCATGCGATTCTTTCAATTTGACTTATAATAATGAAGTGTATATTTTGTAACATTTTTACACCTTACAACAGAGGTTGGGTCATTATATACAGATTGCAATTATCGTCCCATTCTCACGAAAATATTTACAAGGGTATGGTTAGGCTCTGAAAGGCTTCAAGTAGGTCCGCAATATATTTACGGGATTGAAATGGACCAACATCTAAAACTTTTCCTGATTTTGTAGCCTTTATAAAGGTCACAAATAGAAACCAAAGAACACGAAATCTCGCACGAAGTTAGAGTTTAGGACAGCGGGTAGAATGGACCACTACTTTTACAGGCGATATCCTTTTTATGCTGATTTCGTTGACGAATATAGCCAAATGTCGTAGACAAGCAAATCATATGGATGAGTCTAAATTCGGAGATACAGATGGCCTCTTGCTTTTGGAGATAGCGCAAAATATTAAGGGGTTCAAATGAATTGAAGCCAATCGGCACGCCTGAGAAGAGAGTTAAAGACAGGGAAGAATTCTAGCATTTTGGATGACCATTGGATTAAATTTTGCTGTAAAATGGACCACAAAAACTAACAGCACGACGGAGTGCGTAAATATTGTGCAAATGTTCCTGGTCAAAATGCCAAGGGTAATATCTGGGCAGTGCTTCGTGACATAATTTCAAAAGCGAAATCTTCCAAAATGGATTTGGACATAAGGGGGCTTCTAACAAATGGTCGGCCCCGTACGACTATATCCTTTGCTAACTTGTTTTTTTTTTCTAGTTCTTAATAGAAACTTGGCGGTACTTTTAGAAATTTAACAATAGTACAAAAATTCGTAGTGATTTTATTTCAGTTTTCCACTGAAATTAAAATTTATTTTATTAAAAGAGATAAACATTATATTTGAGTTTATAATAACAATTTTCCAAAAAAAGTCTCAATTATCTTTGCTGTTTTTTGCTTAATTCACATGAATTATTAGGAAACATAAAAGCTACAATACCAAATCTGCAAACTGGTCCAAATAACAAGGACAAAAAGTGAAAACAATCAAAAAAAAAAAAAAAAAAAGAATAAACATCATAGACTATGGATTTGTTGAACAAAAGAAAATATCACCATAGTTTACCCACTCAGAGGGTACTGATAACAGACAACGCGAATCAAAGAGCAGTCCAAAAACCTAGAACTTTACCACAGCAAAAACAAAATTATAATAGACCACAAGGAAATGCTAGGAGGAGTAAAATAAATGGCAAAAATAACAAAGGCCCTGTGATGATGATGATGGCCGGAAAATGCCACTTATTGTTATTACCCAGCCAGCCTATGGCCTATTTTTGTACTTCAAATGATAACCAAGTTACAGTCAGCAACAGTTTGTGTTATCCAAAAGCTATGTGTAACGAGCTTACAAAAGTGTAATAAGAGAGGGAACAGAAAATAAATAATACATATTTAACAAATTAATAAAAAAACACAAGTTTACTTAGAATTGTAACAAAGTAATGATGGTTCCCCACGAATAGTAGTTAGCTTCTAGCAACATGAGGTCAAGGCACTCAAAATCATATAGATTATAGAAGGAAACTTCATTCTTTTCCTTTAGAATTTAAGATGAAAGTCCTTTAGAGTTTAAGATGCATTAAATATTAATTTTTAGTAGAAAGTACTCTGAGAAATTGACAAAAAATTTAATATAGAATAATAAATGGTAAAAAGAAAAAAAAAAAAAAAAAAAAACAGTAAAGAAAGTCCTAAAGTCGGGCGGGGCCGATTTTATGATACCCTACACCACTTTGCTAATTTAGTTGAGCTCCACTTAATAATTAAAAGTTTTTATGTGAGAATTCAATCATACACGCTATGATTATAATTATAATTTAAAATTCAAAGGACTAAATATGCCGAAGCATTTGTATTTTTTAAATTCGGACTTGTATTGCCCATTTGGTGCGAAATTAATTTGAAATCG